ACATAAGGACTGGCATTTTATAAGCCTTCTATAAATCTTGGCTTTCATTATTTTTAGTGTCACTGTCAGGTAAATGCTGACCTGGTATTATGGGCCTGGGACAAAATAGGAAAGAAACAGAGGAAAGGATGGTAGTAATAAATAGAATAGGAAGAAGCATATATACAAATGCTAATGAGATTATAATTATATTGATATTACATATGAGAGGGAAAATAACAGGCAGTTTTATCTACCAAGAATAAAAAAGAAGGTAATATATGAAGTTCATATATAAAGTTTTATTCATATGTAAAGTTCAGATTTCAAATCATTCTGTTACAAAGTAAAAGCAAATTGAACTTTATAGAAAGTTGTTATACATGGTATCAAATCATACCCCCCTCCAACTTTATTTGGAGACTTTCTTATCAATAAATAAATGGCATGTGAAACCAGTTTATTGCATTCTTTCTCTTTTAAATGTACATTCTTTTTGAGGAGTAGAGAGGTTATCCATGTGGAGGGAATTTAAATAAAACTTTTTTTTCTGCAAGTAATAATTGGAGACATACAAGAATATTACCTCAGTAAATGAATGAAAAAAGAGCACTCTTTGAGATGAGGAAACGATTATAGTACTTTTGAAATATTACAACTTGTTGTAAGAGATAAGATGCAAGTAGAAACAGAAGCTATGTATGTGAAATACTGAGACATCAGTCCTGTCTGCTAGAGGGTCTATAGATGGACCGCCATCCAAAAGCCGGGGTCACATCCTGTACTGTTTTATTCCTCTACTCATTAATTTCACAGAAAATCATTTTCATAGAAAATCAGTTTTTATAGAAAATGTATGACCTAATCACTCAGCAACATATTCCCTATTCTTTTTAAATTTTATTTCAATTATATAGTGTGTAATAGCCATAATAAATGGACTGTTGTTAAAATATATGCTACATATAAGTGTCTACTATATATATGGAATCTGAATATCTATAACTTCTTCAACTGTGGGGGTCACCCTTCTTTTTAAGACTCATCTAGAATGATCTGTCTGCCTATGACTCCTCTTCCATGAGTGTACAATGTCCAGTCTTTTTATGAGATTCGCTCCACAAATTTTTCAGATCCCTGGGAAATACTCATGTCCCACAAGCATGTCTGACTTGTGCTTGTATTCTCTCACTCTCTACTCCAACTCCAGCCTCCTCTGTTGGTCAGTTTTTGCCAGATTGTAACTGTTTCTCCATGCTACTACTTTTCCCTCTTTATCACTTCAACCCACACCAAGCTCTAACATTTAACACTTTTTTTTTTCCTGAAGGGCTGAGGATAGCTTAAGGAATTTAAAACACACAAAGAAAAATGTTTTAAAACAACAAACCAAAACAGTAGTCTAGACACCAAGGTTTTATTATAAGAAGTGAAATTTCTTGAGAGAAAAAGGGATTTGTGAGTTCTAAAGAACCAGAATTTATACTATAAATAACAGAGCAGGAAAGAATACAGAATTTGATGTCAGAGCAATTTACCCAGCAGTTGTGAAGAAGATAAAAGTTCAACCATTTGGTAAGTGAGAAATGATATGAGAAATTTTACCTGGGATTATATGCTACCTAAACCCTTGAGAAGGTCCAAGTTCTCCTTCTCTGGACCCCAGACTGGGAAGAGTGGGAAAGTCAACAGAAACACTGATGAGGAAACGTAAGAATAAGGGACTTGTGCCCTATTGCAGGCTGATTAAAAACCTCTAGGTCAAACATGGTTCCCTGGTTTTAGCTTATTCATGGTTGAGGAAGTCTAAGCCGATGTTACTATAGTGTGGTCCACAAATCTGCAACTTATATGAGTAGATGGTTTTTTCTCCAATTCATTATTAGAATGTGTCAGAATCAATGCACTGGTTTGTTTATGGAAAAGGCCTTACTATGAAAACTGTCAGATAAACAGTACACAAAGTGTTATATTTAATTTTCATTCTGCTGCAAGATTATTATCTCCTTGTGAACTGGCACTTTGAATAGTATTTGTATAGACAAATGGAACTGAGGGCAGTATTGAATTAAATTATTCAAGAAAACTGACAAGAGAACATAAGTGAAGGCTTATTGTACCAGATATTAAACGAAGCATAAAAGCTACTGTAATTAGAACAGTATAGTATAGGCACAGGAATATGCAAATAGATCTATGGAAAACAATAGAGAAACCAGGATCAGATCCATATGAAACAGGAATTTAATCTAAGAAAAGTGGCATTTTGGACCATTTGGGAAAACATTTAATACATTTTGTTTTGACATTTCATTGTTTATGTTGGCAGAAACAAATGTTAAGTCCATTATTCGCATCATAACAAAAAAGTAATTTCCATAGCATTAGCTTGCTAGGGCTATCATAACAAAATACCACAGACTGAGTGGCCTAAACAACAGACATTTATTTGCTTACAGTGCCGGAGCCTAGAAGTCCGAGATCAAGATGCTGACAGGGTTGGTTTCTGGTGAGACCTCTCTCTCTGGCTTGTAAATGACTACCTTCCCGCCATGTCCTCACATGGTCTTTTCTCTGTGTGTGAGCTGAAAAGGAGAGCTTTGGTGTCTCTTCATCTTCTTATAAGAACACCAGTCCTATTGGATTAGGACCCTGCCCTTATGATTTTGTTTAACCTTAACCATCTCCTTTAAGGTCCTGTTTCCAAATACAGTCGTGTTGGCAGTTAGGGCTTCAACATATGAATTTTGAGGGGACACAGTTCAGTTCATAATATTTGTGAAAGAAGAAAAACAAATGTTTTGATGAAATTATAAGGATAATATGTTTAAAGAGTAAAGGAATTCTACCATATAAAACACAAAACACAAATCTAGAATCCATAACACAGTGCTTTCATCCAAGTTGTTGATCATATCAGTCATTCTTTTATAGCTGAGTAGTATGCCATTGAACGGATGTATCACATTTGTTCATCCATCTGTTGAAGGACGTTTGGAATATTTCCAGTTTGTATGATTATGACTAGGATTGCTATAAATATTCATGTACAAGTTTTTGAGTAAACGTAAGTTTTCGCTCTCTAAGGTTAATACCCAGGAGTGGGATTTCTGAGGCATACAGTAAGCATCTGCCTTGCATGTCTCCACATAGGCCATGTGGGAAAGGCTTAACTACAGCAGATCTAAGTCCTGGCACAATTCCCTGCGATATTCCTGGAACATGAGAGCATGCCGGAGCTTGTGAACAAGACCATTTTCCACCTGCTTACCTATCTTCCCAGGAAGGTGTCATGAGGCAGTTTCTTATCACCTCCAGTGTTTTGAATAGATGTGAGAATTTTTGCCTTGCTGCCATTAGTGTACAACTACAAACTATAAAACAGCTTACTTTTAAATTGAAATTGGCTTCTCAGTGAGTAACAGGTTACACTGACACTCATGTCACATCGTCATATTATTTGGCCCCTTTTGTTTCAGTGTCATCCTTGGGGATCAGGGACATGGGGAGCTGGCACTTTTGCTCATCTTTCTTTTGCTTTCTTGTAAGTTATAAATTGTCTGGATCTAACAGGAATTTCTTGTTTCTTTAAAGACAAATCAGTCCTTTGCCAGGATTTTGAATTATTTACAATTTTTTAGAAATTATGAATAGAGATTACCTACATATTCATTACAGATTTTTGTGTGAACATAAATATTTATTTATCTGAATTCCCAGGAATAGTATTGTTGAGGCATATGGTGAAGAAGAAACTACCCACCAGCACAATATGTGAGAGTTCCAGTTTTTCCACGTTCCCACCAGAACTTGGTATTTTCAGGAACATTTAAATTGAGTTGTTTGTTTTCTTATTATTGAGTTTTGAGAATTCTTTATATATTCTGGATACAAGATCATTATCAGATATATAATTTATAAATACTTTCTCTAATTCTGAAGTTTATCTTCTTGTTCTCTCAACAGTGTGTTTGAAGAACAAAAGTTTTAAATTTTGTTGAAATCTAATTAATAATTATTTATTTTATGGAATGTGCTTTTGGTATCATGTATAAGAACTCTTTATCTAACACCAGGTCATAAAAGTTTTCTCCTATATTTAAAACAATATTTTATGGGTTTACATTTCATATTTAGATCATGATCCATTTTGAGTTAAATTTTTGATAACATATGAGGCTTAGGGTAGATTATTTTTACTACATAGGGATATCCAATTTTTCCAATATTATTTGTTGAAAAGACTATTTTTTTCTCCATTGGATTCTTTTGCATTTTGTGAAAAATCACTTATCCATGTATTTCTAGACTCTCTATTATGTTTCATTGATCTATGTGCCTATCCCTTCACCAATACCACATTGTCTTGATTACCATAGCTTTACAGTGAATCTTAAATTCAGGTAGAATGATTCCTCCAACTGTATTCTTCTTTTTCAAAATCACTTTAGTTATTCTAGATCTTTTGAATTTTCATATACTTTAAAAAATCAGGCTGTCTATATCTAAAAAATCCTACTTGGAATTTCATTAGAATTGCAATAAATATAAGTATCAATTTGGGAACAACTGATGTTTTTACAATGTCGAGCCTTCCAACCCCTGAACATAGTATTTTTCTCAAATTATTTAGGTGGCATCTTTCATCAGCATTTTGTTCCTTTCAGCATAAAGATCCTGTACATGTTTTGCTAGATTTATACCAAAATGTTTTTGAGGTTTTGTAAATCATATTCTTATTCACTTTTGGTAGGATTATTTATCTTGTGCGGATTGGTGAAAATGTTCTCTGAGGGCAATTTGGCAGACTCTACAAATCTGAGAATGTACTGATCCAGCTTTTCCAGTCTTAAGAATCTATTCTACAAAAATATTTTCACATACGAACAAGGTTATAAAGATATTAATTACTCTGTAATAACAACAAATAGAGATAAAATTTCTATAGAAAAGGATATAAATAATTATGATTCAGATACATCATGGGTTCTTATGGCCATTAAGAAAGTGTGAAGTTCTTTCTGCACTCGCGCCCATTGTGGTGCCACCAGACGCTCCCTCAACATGCAGAACGATGCCGGCGAGTTCGTGGACCTGTACATGCCACGGAAATGCTCTGCCAGCAACCGCATCATAGGCGCCAAGGACCATGCGTCCATCCAGATGAACGTGGCCAAGGTTGACAAGGTGACAGGCAGGTTCAACGGCCAGTTTAAAACCTATGCCATCTGCGGGGCCATTCTCAGGATGGGCGAGTCAGATGACTCCATTCTCCAACTGGCCAAGGCTGACGGCATCGTCTCAAAGAACTTCTGACTGGAGAGGATCCTGGATGTGGAACGTGTGTTATAAATAAAGAGTGAAAGCCTTAAAAAAAAAAAAAAAAGCGTGAAGTTGATCTGTTGGTACTGATGTCTCGTATATGTAATTGACAAGTAAAAACAAAGCTTGTCCCAAATAAATATATAGTATACAAATTTTTTGGTGTGTTTTATTTTTAAGAGAACACTACAGAGAAAGAACTGGAAGGATATAGATAAACTGTTAAGTATAGCTATCCATGGGATGGAATGGAAATAATTAAAAGAGATTTAACATTTTACATGATATATCTATATTGTTTGACTTTTTGTAATTAAAAATATAAAAGTACAGGAGAAATTTTATAAATGAAAGAGTACGTGATTTTATTTTTTAGACCTTTATAAATCAGGAACTATTCAAATTTGGGATTAGAATGATTCCCAAATCTTTCAGGTAGAAATTTTGAACTACCATGAAATATGGTTACAGATAATACGTTGGAAAGCGTGGCAGGTTTGACCTTGGCAGGATGCTGACAAAGCAAGAGAGAGGCATGGACGTATATACACTACCAAACGTAAGGTAGATAGCTAGTGGGAAGCAGCCGCATAGCACAGGGAGATCAGCTCAGTGCTTTGTGACCACCTGGAGGGGTGGGATAGGGAGGGTGGGAGGGAGATGCAAGAGGGAGGAGATATGGGAACATATGTTTATGTATAACTGATTCACTTGTTATAAAGCAGAAACTAACACACCATTGTAAAGCAATTATAACCCAATAAAGATGTTAAGAAAACAAAAAAAGAGATAACAGGAGTTAGCATTTGCTTTGTGTTATGATAAAAGGGTTGAAACTTTTCAGGAGACCTGTCAGCCAAATTTTTTATAATTTAATTTTCCAGTGATATTTTATAAAAAAGGAATTACAAGCCCAGGAGTCTAATAAATCAGTATTTTCTTAAAGTTTTAAGGAAATTTTTACAACTGTATTGTTCTTACATTTAACATTTAATTAATAAATTGTCTCGGAATCTAGATAATTTTTATATGTTTTCTTAGGCATCTAGAAAATATTTTTTCTCTTCTAACTTTTTTATTTTATTACCTTCTAAAACACATATGCATCTCTCTCTTCTGTGTTGCATTCATTTCTCTAATTTCTGTGCCCTAGTGTTTTCCTCATCCATAAAATGGAGGTGAGCATTTTATTTATCTCATTGTACTGTTTTGCTGGTTCAATAAGGTGATACAAGTCGAGCATAAAAAAGCGTCTGTTGACACATAGTGACTGCTCACTAAATATTGTCTGTAGCTACTCATGTGATTATACGTATACCATCTTAATCCATGCTATTGCAACTAGGACTATTATCATTACTACAACCAATTATTAATTAGATTTGCTTAAGTACTGTCACATACAGGGCAATGTACTAAATGTAAGTATGTATATGTGTGTGTGTGCATATGGTTATTTAATCCCCTCAAAGCTCTATGTGGTGTGTTCTATTGCGAAGTCCTATTTATATTGGAGGAAACAAACACAGAGAGACCAAGTGATCAGCCCATAGTCACAAGGTTGGTGAATGCTAAAATTAGAAAAATCTTCCTAGTCTTACTTTATCTTCAAAAAAGCTAAGCTTGTGACTTAGACAGGGAACTGTGGTTGGAATGATTAGGTTAATTAGGAATCTTTACAAATCCAGTTCATAAGCAACTTGAAAAAAAGGAATAATTAATTTTGAGCAAAGTAACTTCTCTAGCTTGTGAGAAAATGAGGCAGCACTTTAAATACTACTATAGCAGAATCTTAAACCCAGTACATTTTTCTTCTGTTGCTATTTCTTCTTTGAGAGGTGATGCAGCAGAACAAGATTTTTCTTTTAAGTGTAAATATTCTAAGAAATGTTTTCTCGGTGTTGTAAAATGCAGTCACTTACTATATTCTATGATGTTCCCTGATATCATCCCTGTCTACTCATTCACTATAAAATGAATATTTACCACTTTATTTCTACTAAACCTGAAATGTAAAACTCTTAGTGTTTCGCTGAATGGTGGCCCTTTAACATTAATAGAATAAAGTGAGGTCTAAAGCCTTACTGTGTTGTACAAGAAACAATGGACAACAAACTGTTCTTTATATGCCTTAGATTCACTTTCACCTTACAGGTTATTTATTCAAACTGTATTTATATTAGCACTTCAAACAAAGTAGATTTTTTAAACTCTTGGAAAAGAATACCAAAACCTTCTACCATGTGCACTATCACTGCAAAAAAACAAAATGAGAAAATAAATTAAAATTACATGAGTTTCTAAAAAGAGCTTATCCTTTTAAGATATTTGGCTGACATCTTGTATACAACTGTTTGGAGGTAGGTTGGGCTGTTAACTGCTTTATTTTCTGAGCTGTGGAATGGAACTCAGAGTGGTTGAAGGTTTCGCTTTTTGATTGTTGGGATGAGTTTTATAGAAAATTATTTAATATAGCAATTACATCTAAAATATGAGTTTAAACTTAGACTACAACCCAAGATGGAGAAAAAGATAATTGATTTCCCAGTAGGAAATCTGATAATCAAAGCCAATGCTATCTTCCTTTCACAAATGAAGCCCATTATAAAGTCAGGCACTTTTAGTATTTTAGTGTCATTTGTCAACTCGGTTATTTCCATTTTCATGTAGAAAACAATCAAAAAGAAATGCATGTATTCTTGCCACAAAAATAGCAGGTTAACACTCTGTAGCACGTTATTATTTTAAAAGATATATTGCTAGACTCTGAGTCATTAAATTATTTCCCTAAAATGATGGTGTTGTCTGGAATCTAGATTTGCTGGATGAATGCCCTTTGGTAATGCAGTAGTTACTGCCTTTTGCTAAATGTTATAATTTATAGGAGCCAAAAAAGCACAGCTCCTGGAATTTCCTGGAATTGAAAAAGCTTTCTAAAGGCATTCATTTATAATTTTTTACTTAAGATTATATATTAAGCTAAAACTTTAACTATAAAAACTCAGTTTTAATTTCAGTTGTTGAAATGTCCAAATCAAGCAATTGAAAAACAAAATGACAACGTGGCTCATATGCTTTTCACCACATTATACTGCATGTAGAAAAGGGCCCAGTGCAGCACCTGGGATCTCCATTGTGTTGGTTCCCTCTTTCCCCTCCCCTCTTGCTTCTTTATTGCTTCGCATTTCTATACACTGCAGATTTCCAATCAGCACTAAAACAAAAAGCCCCAAAGCTCTACAGTGCAATTTTCACCCAATTGTCCCATAACTTGTGGATACAACCACTTCGTGTTGGTGCATGCAACCCCAGCACCTTTAATTTCCTTGCATTTATTTCTTTCATCTCTCATTTTATTAACCATTTAAAGGAAATATTTTCTAGGATTTTTAAATTTGTTTAACTACATGTGTATCAAAACTTTGTACAAAGTGTCTTTATATACTGGAAAAACGGCAGAACATTTCTAAAATATACAGTAGGTATTTCTGCAAGAGAGTACATTAAAAATTAAATTCAATATCAGCCTTTCTAAAAGTAATCAATCCTTTACAAATGTTTGCATTCTGTAGTTCACACAAATAACTTGAGTAGAAAGAATTCTTAATTATTTAATCTTTGAATCGCCAAGTGGTATTTAGAACTACTGTTTATGAAATAGTGCTTATTTGTAAGAGTAGTTTAAAATGAATTGAGGCTATAACTTCATTAATTTACCTAGTTAAATTTACATGAATGGCCTTTCTTTCCCTTTTCTCCAGAATAATTTCTGCTTATCATTTAGATTTCAGTTTAAGCATAACTTCCTCAGGGAAGTAGCTTCCCAAATCTGAATAGGTCAAATTCATCAGCTATCAGAAACTGAAATCTCAAACAGCAAAAATTTTAAAATGGATATATGTGATTTGAACAAGTCATCTCAAAGGCTTGACTAATACTCTATAGCAAAGAAAAAATATATTGTTTTTCAAATACACATGGAGTGTTATAAAAATTGACCACATATTATATAACAAAGGAAAAAAGTCTGTCTAGTTCCAGAGAATGAGTCCAGTACAAACTATGTTATTTCACCATAATATGATTAAATTAGCACTAAAAATATGCAGAAAAACATGTTTGAAAGCAAAGAAATTATTCTTAAATAACAGGTTAAAGAGGAACTCATAATGTAAACTAAGAAATATATATACCTGAAAGACAATAAGAATCCATTTTATAACTTATAAAATGCATCTAAGTCTGTAATAACTGCAAGTTATCGTGTTAAACTTATTTTTTTAATGGGAAAAAAGTTACTTAAGCATTCATCTCTAGAAACTAGCTAATGAACAACAGAGTTAAGCTGGAAAAAGTAGAAAAAAATAGAGAGTAGACAAGAAAATCATAGAAAATAAAACATATAGAGATTTTAAAGCTGGTTCTTTACAAGTTTTGTCAATGAAATAAAGCTCTTGCAAGACAGAATACAAGTTTTTCTTTTAAAGATTACAAACACTAACTGTGAAGGGAAATAAAACTATAAATAGAGTAGAGCAAAAATATCATTTGAAAATAATATGAAACATGTTAAGGAATTTTGCATTTAAGGAATGCAACTTCAATACACTTGGAAATTTAGATGAAATGAGCAATTTTCATGAATGAAAATTCAGTAATTATACTAAAAGTAGACATAAGTAAAACAGAAAACCTGAGTAAACTTGCAAATAAATTAAATCCTCCACCTTTGCCCCCAGCAAAACATACCAGTCCTAGATGTTTTTTCCAAGCAGATTCTACCAGACATTCAAGGAGATTAGTCTTGTCTTTTACAAATGATTTCAAGACTAAAGAAAGACGCAAAGTCACATGATTAAGTCTATCAGTGTAATTTTAACATCCACAGCAGTCAGAAATAGAACAAAAATTACAGGCCAATTTTATATATAAACATATATGCAATATGAAGTCCTTAAAAGGACTTAAAAGTTAAATCTAAAATGGCCACACATGTAAAGAAACACATCATGACCAAGTAGGATTATTATTCTTAAAAATGATTAT